CTCACGTATGACCTGAGGAATTCATTTTATTCCAAAAAGTCTCTCTTGTTTTGTACTTGACTGTTTTTGCCATACTACAGAATATGGTGTTGCTCAGGGAGGTGTTGTAGGATATATTCTATTTTTTAAAAATATGCATGCTTTATCATAGTAATCCTCCAGACCATCTTCTGCCTTAAAGGCGTAGAGCTTTGAGTTAGTTCAGACAGGCACAGAGTCAGGGAGTCACATGGTCCTACTCTATCCAATCATTTACAAACCACCCACTTAGCATGATGCTGAAACGATGATGCAGGCTTTCATTGCAATCTGTTTACTGGTTTTGCTACTATCAGTTCACCGGAGTCCCTAGGTTGACATTCTTAGTCATGGTGTTGCTCATTTTACGTCTTGCATATGAGAACTTTCAATATTAGTCTAAATTGTGACTGCAGCACTCTGAATCAACACTTGTTTCCTTTAAGACTTCTTGTCAGTCTCAGAAACACAGATTCAGACATCTGGAGTTTCACACATAACAAACACAAGGAACCAGTCTTGTCAACTTGAGGTGTGAGACTTCAGTATCATTATTCTTCTTTCGAATCAGTTTCCAGTTCCAACATGTATGGGTGAAGTTCTCCAGTATGACAGCTTGCTGTTAAGCAGAGTCATCGGCTCACGGCCACTGCATGTCGTCCCCCTTTCCTTTCTTTCTCTAGTGTTCCTACAATAAAGGCAAAAAAATGGGCCAAAAAAAAAAGATCTGCGGATTCTCAAGGAAGCAAATGTGTAGAGTTACAACCAAGTCATTAGAAAAGGGAATATTTTCAGGAAAAATAAAGGCATCTAAATAAGAAACTTTTATGCTTTTATCAGCGACGACTTTTTTGGGTTTTAATCAATGACCAAAGAGGAGCTTTACAGTTACTGTACATCCCCTAAACAGAGAATGCCTCTCATTTTATGATCCAACAGGAACTCTCAGATCTTCCACTCCCTTTCAGAAGTCCCTGAGATTTGCCACAGGAACACTCTTTCCAGTGAATCTTAGAACAGCAAGCTCCCTTGTTGTGTTTTGTTTTTTTTAAAGAAGCTTGGAAGTCTGGAAAGAGTTTGGATTATTGGTTGGATAAAACTATTGGAAGACAACACCATTTTGGGGGGTTTCTCCCTATTCTTCAGTGTGTCATAAAGCTGCATTTATGTGCATGTAAAAGGTCTGCAAACCTACAAAGCTCAAAGTCATTCTCTACCACAGAAAACATTGTTTTTTTTTACCAGGATGAAACTCCTCATTTGAAGCCCAGGCTTTTCTTCTGTAATTTATCTACATCAACAATGAACACATCTGCATAACAGGAAGTTTGACACACCCTGAAACAAAGAAGGAACATCTGCCTTATCGCTACGAGGGCTGCGTAGCCCTACATCTGCCAGTACATATAGATCTAGGTTTATCGGATGTAACCAACATTATCTCACTTCCACTGGCCCACCTGACTGATCAGAACAGATTGGGCTTTTCGTGAGGGGCCTTAAAGAGACAGGAGCTGAGTGTTTCAGACAGGGTGAGAAGACATACTGCAGCAATGAAAGAAATATGCAGCAGTGAGAAAAAATAATATGCTGTGGGTTTGTTTTGGTTTTTTTTTTAATTTAATGTAAACATGTTCGAATAGACAACAAACAGATAAATAAATATTACAATGTACATAGTATAGGCATATTCTGAGCAACCCTGGGATTTTATTTACGTGTAGCAAAGGCGAAGGTGATTGTTTGACTCATTTTGCTTTATTTTTTTTGGTTTGGCCTTATGATCTGTTTCTGTTAAACATTTAGGTGGGAAGATTGTTTATTAATTTTCAGGTTTGTAATTGTTCTGTTTTGGGGACTATTTCTTGCTCGGTTTATAATTTTGAACCTGAACGTCCCAATTCTTATGTATTTTCAGTTTGTGCATTTTTGAGTTGTTAATATATGTTTTTCTTTTGAATTTGTTATTTTTCTTTTGAATTTGTCAGAAGTTCCTTTGAATTTGTTATACGTAATCTTTTTTTTGTTTCTTTTTGTTTAATACACTTGAGTTTTCCCCACTAATCCCCTCTCTTCCTGTTTCAGAGCTGAGCCGTTGGGCTGGTGCCGACGGTGGTGGTATCCCTTTCCCGTGTGCTGTTGGAACCCTGGGTTTTTGTTTGATCCCTCCTGTGTGTGTGTTTGTGTGAATTCACCTGGTGACCGTCCCCTGGGACCCACTCCTTCCCCGTCGACACTCCCCGGTGGGACGCCAGCTCTGGGCAGCTCACTCCCTCCCCTTTTTAAAAAAAATATAATTGTTTAAGTGAAGTTTTATTGTAACAAAGACTAATTGTATTATTATCACGGAACCACGTCTCCTGCCTCGTGGTGTAACGAACATGTGTGCCTCTGAGGGAGTTGACAGAGGTAGAACGAATCCTTGGGTGAAATTCCCAAGGTGGCGTTGTCAGAAATTGCCGAGCTATCGGGTGAGTTTACATCTGCTCTGGCTCTAAGTACCGCCACATATGTATAGTGTAGCGATCCCAGAGCCGGATATGCTGAGACTGAACAGTTGTGCTGCAATGCACCATGGGAGTTTGGGGTGATGGGGTTATAAGTGTGTTTATTGTGGTTCATGTTGTTTAGCATTGTTGTTGGTGTTTCTGATTTATTGTGCTTGTATGGTTCAGTTGGTTGAGACGGGTTAGTAAGTGTTGTGTTGATGTGAGATGTGTCGTGTGTGTGATGTCTTCCGGCTACTGCTCATACGTGTATGTTGGTTTTTGTGTCACAATAAAAACGTCTACTTGTGTAGTGCGCAACGAAAAAGCATCTCTAGGGTCGTCCTTCTGCACAGCTCGCCTCAAAATATATATATATACTCTTAATCGGCATGCCATGCGTATAGATCTAACAAAAGATATCTCTGTTTCCTGTTGCTGTGTGGACGGTAACTAAGGGGATATTTTGCAACAGTTTCCACTGAAGAAATATATTTATAGATTTAGATTTCTGCAGCACGAGAAGAGCAGAAGTATTGAACCTCAAATGTTATCAGCACTCTAGCAAATCAGGATGGTTTGTGTCACTTATGTAATCGGAAGAATATTAATTTGCATCATATTTAGAGGAAAGTCTTGTAGTGAATGTTTATTAGTCGTGCACAGAGAATCTGTTATTTCTTCGCTTTTTGTCAAAATCGGCAGCATGATAATGATTTGTCCCCGCAGAGTCATGTTTAGAGGCAAAGAAGATTAAAAAGATTCTTTTCAGCATGAACTGAGCCAGTGAGGGATTTGCACATTAAATGTTGTTTGAAAGGCACGTTAACAATCTTAAATGAGGGAGAAAGGAGATCAGTACTCACTCACTAAACCCCACTCACATCTCTGTCAGGGGACCAGGAGCAGCAGCCCCTCCGCTCACTCCTTCACTCTCACTCAGGAGGAAGCAGTAAATGATGGAATTAGTGGAGGAAGTGCGTGTTTCTTCTTTGCTGCAACGGACTGCAGCGAATCGCAGGAGCTGACATCAGGTGGGTGTGTAATAATACCCACCAGGATTTTTTTTCTGAACGGGTCTATCTGGTATAAACCCAAGTGCTTATGGGGCCTTGGGGCCAGAGCCTCTAACACGTCTGAAGTGGCTGTTAACATTTCTGGTTGTAATCAGAGGCCTACAAGCAGATGCAAAACAATCACAAACACACTGAATGATTGCAAAATAATAAATACCAGACACACTTGCTTAGGAGGCCCTTGTGCCAGTGTGTCTTACAAGTTTGAAGTGTCTGTTTGTGGTTGTAATCAAAAGGCTTATGGATGCAAAGCGACTGCAAACTCTGAGAGAATGATTTCAGAAATGCAAAATGACCACCAAGGGATACAAAATGACCACAAAGAGACCCAAAATGATCACAAGATGACTCAAAACAAGCGCTAAGAAAATCTAAATGACCATAAAGAAACTTAGTGAGTCAAAATGAGCACAAAGAGATTCCAAACAAGCACGAAGAGAATCAAAGTGACCATAAACTCAAAGTAAACGCAGAGATTTAACATGAACACCAAAATGAGCACAAAGACACTCCAAATAAGCACAAAAACAAAATAAATATGACAATAAAGAAACTTAAAATTAACATAGAGACTCAAAACAACCACGGACACTTGAGATAATGTCAGAGATGCACATTTATGACTACAAATGCTACCTCTTCTGTCACTCTTCTGAGGGCAGTGTGGTGATGTTGATGCTCATTGCCCAGCAGCTTTTCATCAAGAAAGACGTCCACAGATGACAGAAAAACAGACTAAAAGGTTAGTCAGTCTCTCATTAATTACAGCAGAGGCGTAAATAATGCATTTTTTATTTACTCTTTTTAATCTTTTTCAGGAACTTTTACACGTGTCCAGCACAGCCACAGTCTGACCTGCTGTCCACTGAGAAGCCACTGGAGCAGGTGGGGTTAAGAGCCCTGCTCCGCTGCGCCACGGGGGTGTCCATATTTGTTGTTTTTGGATTGATGCACATTCCATACAGTAGTGAGTAGAAAAACACTGCATAGTCAGCTGTATCCTTTACGATTGTTTTTCTAAACTTCATTTTCTGCTTATAAGTTCCTTTATCTCTGTGTGTTTGCATGTGAGTACCACAAAGAGGTGTGTGTAGTTTTTCAGTGAACCTGAAGAGGAAATGAGAACATTAGGAACAAAACACCTGAAGTGAGAGATGATGAAAGAGAGTATCCTTCTGAAATGCCTTATCATGAGGCCACACATCAAACCTGAGCCAAACACAGCCGTAAATAGCTCTGGTGCACTGTTCTGACAGGGTGAATGGAGCCGCTGGAATCTGCAAAAAAAATTTAAATTTAAGTCTTAAATTTTAAGTATCATTACATATTAAAGAAAATAGTATTGTCACAGATGATAATACGTATTTCTTCCAAAAGACGTCAGACTAGTGAGAGATGTGAGTTGTTCTTCACCTTCAGCAACGTGTCCTTGATTCTTCTCTGTTGCCAGGAGTGTCACCTAAAGAGAAGCAACAAGAGGCTCCCTGCAGAGCAAAAGGAGTTCAATTATAAAGCACAAACACTGAGTCATATTACATATTCATATTAATAAAATATAATGGTTACATCTAATAGCAATTAACACGTAGCTACTGAGGGAGCATCGGCAATAGTCTGTATTAATGTTAATGTTTGCTAACAGGCACTCCTACATCCCACGTACCCATCAGCTGTGATGAGAAACTTTTTTATTTTTGCCATTTGTGTGAAACCATGTATGCATCTGGACAGGGTGAGACACACAACAGCTCTTTTACACACAGTAACAGGAAGGCATGGTTGTTAAACTGACACATGTTGGTGTGTTAGAAACGCTGGCTTAGTAAGAATGTAAAGAAAAAAACAGGAAATTGAAATTGTGTGTCACAGTGTAAGACATTTTGAGCAGGCAGTCTAAATGATGTCTCACAGTATGTATTCGTGTGAATAAAGTTACAGCAGCGTTGCCATTAAAAGGAAGTCAGTAGCTGTGTTGCTGAAGTTGCAATCATATTTTTTCACACCCTATCAGAGTTTCCATAATTGCGGGTTTGTCACTTCTAAATAGTCATAATTACAGCCTTTTCTGAAAGCTCTGTTAAATCTGATTTGATCCTAAAAAGTGCTAACAAAAGCAAACAAACACGGGTGACTCATGTTAGTCAAAGTCCATTTAAATGTAATTAAAAACAAATTTAAAGGCCTCCTGGTGGAAATAAAGTTTTTATTTTACATTTTTACTGTTTTTTTCATATACTCGATAGCACTGAAATAAGCATTTAATGCCATAGCTGAGCATTTCCACTTCAGACTGCAGACTACCGATGACAGTGTCCAAACCACAGATTCAGACAGCCATGATTTTATATCTAACAAACCCAAGGAATCCATCCTGTCAGCTTTGCAGGGTGAGGCTTTCTTCTTCAGAATCATTGGTGTTACATTTAAACATGTAAACATGTATGGCTGAATCACTCTATCATTATATCTTGTTATTATATATAGAGAGAAGTTTTACAGTTTTTGAGCAGAAAAAGTAGAGAGGAAGAGGATACACAGATCTTTACATTCGACAGCCAATGTTTCATATACATAACAAACCTAAGGAACCAATCGGATCAACTTTGCAGGCTTTCTGCAACAATAGTCTTCATCAGAGTTGATGCCCGACTCGAACATGTATGGCTGAATTAATACAGTCTTATACTTAGAAAACTTTACATTGCAAAGTGTAGGAAAAGCTTCTCAGTGTTCGGTCAGAGTCGTAGGTGAGCTGGTGAGCTTAAGTTGCAGCGAGTGGGGATGTACTCTGAAGAAATGCAACTGCTTCTTTCAGTGTTGTTAGTGTTTATTGATTCAAACAGCTGAAGTCTCCTGCAGTGAGTAAAAAGCCTGGACGACGACGTGAACACTCCGAAGTAGTCACGGTGTCGTGTTACCTTCCTACTTCCCCCATGATGTGAATATAAGGTGCTTTTCCTTATGCTGAAGTGTCTCCTTGCTTCCTTCATCGCATCACTTCCTCATATCTTAAGTCCTCCCAGCGAGGATGTGAGAGGGAGATGTGAGGACGAGACGGGAGGACGGGGGAGGCGAAGCAGCCAAATGACAAATCCTTCATTCCACAGCATCAATCTTTTGCAAAGTCAGTAACTTATACTGCACAGCTGCTTCACCTTTCAAACTCACTGCTATGAATGTCCACAGAACCCCTTATTTAAGGACAATTTCTAAACCTTACAGTATCTTTCATACATAGTGAGATAGATAGAGAGACAGAGATGAAAATGTTGTATATGCCTCCACAAGCTGTGCATAAAGATCACTGTCTGTCAGAAATTACAATCCAATTAAACTGCCTTCCCAATTACAATTAAAGGGAAATATATTATCTTGCGGATTACTTTTGTAACGTATCGTGAATACATTTCTAATCAACATAACTTTGCTATTAATTGTATCGCTTTACTGATGTTCTCTTTCAGCCCAAAACATCATGTGAAGGTCTTGCATCAAACTTTTGTGGGTCTTCAAGTTTGAAAGCTTTTTGTACTATGTCTGTTTTACTTTACAGAGAGAAAACCGGTTCTTTTAAAAAATAAAATTTAAAAAAAAGGGAATGCAGTTTTGTTGTGTAGAAACATAGTTTTTGGATAAAGGGGCTGTCATTTAGGTATGTAAATTGTTAATCACTGCAGATTATTAGCAGCATTTTTACTGTTGTGTCTTTTAATCAACACATACAGATATGTGGTGTGTACTGAGACTCTTCATTTAGTTCCATGTTGTTACCTGTACTATAATGCACCT